GACCGATGAGCTTTGTAAAAATCGACACGTTTCAGAAAGGCGGGGCATAGAGGAGAAACAATGTATGTGGAAAATAATGTGTTTTTTTTACCTTAAACCGCATAAACACATTTCATTACATCAAATATCATTACATCAAAATAATGTTCTTTTTAGCAACATCATATGACCCCTTTAATCAAAGCCTTTTGTGATTGACAGACATCCCACTCTGCAAAAACTTGTTAGAGGGAGGAAGCACCAAACCCCCCAGAGCACATTTAAATTACAGAAGAATATTTATTATATTATATTATATTATATTATATTATATTATATTATATTAGATTAGTTTAGTTTGATTTAAACACATAGCTCTTTAACAGCTGGCCAGCTAGTTTACATTTAAATTATGTTCAAATGATGAAAAAAAAAATAGCAGCTGTCTCCATTCACCCTTTTCAATTGCTACGTTCTCTGCTGCCTTATCTGTGTAATAACACGACTGCATTCTATCATGTACCGCACTCCGCACTTCTAGGATAGTAAATTGTATGTAATTTGCTTATGTCAGGAAGTCAAATCAATATTCAGGAGACTTGTAGACCTACCTGAAGAGGTGGGAGGTCTGAATTTGTTTTATATTATTTCATAAATATATCTGGGAGGATTTTATATTTGGGACAAGACCTTGAGTTGTCAGGAAAGTCAGGAATTTGCCCCCTACTGGTTTAATGTCACTACATTATTACTGTATGTAAGCATGATTTCCCATTGAAGGCCATTCAAAATTAGCCATGTACATAAGTCCTAAGAGGCCATGCATTATTGTTTTTTCTTATTTTTATGATTTCAACATAAATGTTGTATTTTGTTTATGTTGCTCGACATTTCTTTGATCAGCAACAAGCAATCTATTTTCACAAACATAATGGCCTCAGGAGGCCATGAATCAAGTGGCAACCCAAAACCAATGCCAAAAGACATTGAAAAATATTATATATGATTTTAGTGCTGATTGACCTAATTTAACTTACATTTATCTGAATATACTATAATTAAGAAAATAAATGGACTGTGAGCTATTTAACTCTTACATTTTTTAACCCATTCAAAAGAAGCTTTATCCAACAGAAGAAACGCTGTAAACTGACATTGCACATGGCCTGTGGAATTGTGTCATATTTCTTGCTGCTTTTTACCACTTAGCAATGGATGTTTATCCATAATGCTGTGCAACGCTGAAATATGACTCCAATCATCTGTCATCCTGCACGTCATCTGTCTGCTTCCTGCCTCCACTATCCCCTCCCTGCAGATGTGCAGCTGTATTTTCATACATGAGAAGTCCCAGAGCATCTACTAGCTGCCACTACATACTGATTTTGGATTCTGAGTTCATAACTGCCTACAAGCACTCTTTTATGAAACATAGCCTAGAACTAGCTTTAAGACTTAGGACATAGAACGTAAAAATCCTAAAACCTATACTGTAGCTTAAAGCAAGTGCTCATTTTCAATAAACACTTCAAGGACAAGTTCCATTTTATACATACTGTACTGTGTCCAAAAGTTGATGCTGCAAAAACGAATGAAAAAAAAAATGAAGTGACAAAAATGACAAAATTAAGCAAAATGATAGGTGTAAGAAAATATATTCATATTTTAAACTTTTTAAACTATAAACCATCGTTTCTGACTGAGGGATTAAGGCATTATGAAGCAATATAGTGTTCTAGCAGCTCCCTGTTTAAACTGATCAGAGGTGCACGGGTGATATAACCAAAGTCAATATATCTGGGATTTTCAAAGGATGACATCACAATAAAGTAATTCTGTCTAAAATGTGTCTTATCTCTATAATGAGCTGTTACTAATTTAGATTAAAGCTATACCCTATATTTACTAATATCAACGCTAAAAAAATATTGCTGATTAAATTAGAAGAATTTTAAACTTACATCAACCAGTTATATCCCCACAGGACAAACGATTGTGTTTTCATTAATACTTTTTGAGAACTGCTTACGCACGCTTAGAACAAAACGGATTCATATTTTTATCTTTTTAAGTAATCATGTCATAAAATGACTAACCTTTACTTTGGTGATGTATGGACTATGATGGTGGACTTCTGCAATCATTCAGTCTGCTTAAACTTCTGCTTAAAAACTGATCAATTGTTCTTTACAAGCACATCATGTTCTGTTATTGTGGAGTGCAGGGTGTTAAGTACATTTTTCTTTCTCAGCTACATCTGTGCCTCTTCATCATTTACAGACGAGTGGATATAATGTGTTTATCATGGCTGTAATCGACTACTGCAGGGATACCCTAAATTGAATACTAGTATGCAAACAAATACATATTACAGAATTTACAAAAATCACAAATGAGATGCAGACAATTTAAATTGAGAGCAAATGTCTTTTGCTTAAGTCCTGCTATTAAAGGCAACCTGTAGTGCAAACAAACAAATAAATTTTAATATTCAATTAGCTTCTGTGTTCATTTAAACAGAATCATTTAGAATGACATTTTCTGTTTGCCACTAAGTGATTTTATAAATATTCACTGATATCTTGGCTCAATTAGATTTCTTATCGGAGTAACCTGATCTTTAGAAATACCTCTTTATAAAGAAAATAATTTAACTTCACTATGAGGAATAATGATATTGCTTAACAGGAAAGCACATAACAATTCTTATTTATTTTTGACTAAAGATATTTTACATATAATTCATATTTAAGTTAAAAAAAAAAAATGAAATAATACTAAATAATGTAATAAACAACAAAAACATATTATTTAGATTAAACCCAAAGACACATTATCTCCTGCTTCATGAAAAGTATTTGTCCCTTTACCCTTCTATGTCATTCTATGAACCTGTCATCCAACCAACAGTTCATGAGCTAACATTCATTAAGAAGCAAAACAGAGTTAAAAGCTTAAAAAAAACTTTTAAAAACTAGCTGAAAGAAGACTACTGTATAACTACATAGTGCTCATTCATCTAATCTCAGAGCTGTAGACCCCTAGGCCCAGTGATTACAACACAGCTCTAAGCACACCAACGCCACTAGCCACAGTTCTGCTAGCACTTCTGCTATTAATAGTGTGTTACTGGCTAATAGTGAGCTTTCTTTGTGCATTGCATGTTTTAAAAGCAAGCAGACCTCATTGGGGAAAAAGGGGGCTGATTTTGACATATGACACGTTCCAGAGGAAAGCATCAGTTTTTTCAGCTGTGTCGAAGTACTCTGGCAAATACATACCTCTTGAGACTTGTTTGTTTGTCTAACCACATATTCAACGTGGTGCTATAATATAAGCGCAATGTAGATGTTATACCCACTAAAAATGATGCAACCTCCTGCTCTGCTGCAAACAGATTGAGCTAGAGAGGCACAACAGGGTCTCTGTGAGGCAGCAGGGGGAGAGGGAAGGGTGCTGGGGGTGGAGAAAATGGATTCCTCCCTCAGGGGACTTGCTGCATTTTAAGAAGCCGAGTGAGTGGAGTTGGATATGTCCACTGAGACAGTACTGTCCCCATGGGATGCAAGGGGAGTTATGGTACTTAGGGTTATCCGTATGTTATGGTTTTCCGGTCACTTAGAACCTGACAGTTGACAGGCATTCTGGTATTTTATTAGGGTTAACATTTGGTGATATTTACAGAAATTCAGTTATGGACTGATGTGGTCGGTAGGTTCAGTCTTAGTTGATGATACAGGTTTTTAGGATCAGAATGTCACTTGGTAATGTATTGGTAATAAAGATCATGAACAACTTACTTTTGTTTAGTATAAACTGTATTAAATATTTTGTCATGTAACCTAAATCATGCTCTATGTGGTAACAACTAAAGTTTGTTAAAAGAAAAGAAAAAAATAAATATCATTCTCATTTGTCAGCCCAGTCTTTAAGTGCCTGTTTGTTTATACTCACATTTACAGTTGAGGAATTTTAGAACAAACCTCGATATCACTCACTGTCCTT